TTCGAACTTTAAGTTATGTACCTGACTATACTGAGCCGACATTGAAAATTGGCTTGGATTTGATGGGTGAAATATTTCTTGACTTGAAACAACTTCTTTATCCTTTTCTGTTAAACAATGTGTCATGTTAGTGAGTTGTAATTCAACGTACATCCAAAACAATAGAATAATATAACCTAACTAACACTTTGTTTATTTTTCAATCTTACTTTTTGATCGATTATTCTTCTCCCAAAAGCCTTTTAATCTAGCATTAGAAACTCCTTTTGGTCGCATCTTCGTTGGGTCTTTCAAATTGTGTTGTTTATTTGGTGTCTTTTTCTTATTTGACATTGGCATTTCCTGAGGTTTTTTCCCATTCAATATGACTTCAGATTCGAGTGTTAGTTTTTTTAATGTTTCCAGCACGTTTTTTTTAACAAGTTCATTACCTTGAGTTAATATGCTGATTCGGTATGCAAATTCATGAACGTGCGCTCGATATATGAGATCACTCGAACAAGTTGCTGAAGTTTGCGAATCTTTCAAATGTTTATAACCATAGTTGTTATATATATCCCTCTTTGCATGAACCGACCACCGCAGTAAAATATATTTATCAGAGATCTTTGTTATATTCTCATGGTTAAGCACTCTTAGAGTGTGAGCACATATATAATATCCCCATCATTTTAATTTTTTTTACAACTGCATGTAATTTCAGAATTACATTTATCGACCTTAACAACCCACGGTCTGACTGTGTGCTCATTATCTAAGCTTCTAACATAAAATTCTGAATTTGAAGTGGCTGAGCACTCCACAGCAAGACCACACATACCATGTAACAACTCTGCTTCAAACATTGAATATAGCTTCCTCGTATAAACTAAAGCTCCTTGCCTCAACACAGGACTACTTTTCACAGCAGGGACAATTGCAGATTGTTCAGATTTAAAATCTTCATCCCTCTCATTCCTTCTCCAAGCTCTCATGACATTTTCAAGACCCAAGAAACTCTCAGTGAGGGTGCTTGTTGGCTTAGAGGCATTATGACAAATGTTATTCGTCGACTCACTCCTTTGTGTTGAAAGGATCCCCATCCCAAATATGTCCTTGTTGAAAGCTGTTGACCACTTATGTCTGATATTGTACAAGCTAATCAACCAAGCATTCTCATATAGATTTCCTAACACAATCATTGTATGCCAAGTTTCTTCGAACTCCTCCTCAGAGTTACACCTAGCCATGCATTTATAAAAAAGCTCATTGACTTTCTTGGTGCTTACACCACAATGTAGCTTTGAAGATAATTTCTTGTAAATATGCCATTGACATAATCTATGTCTTGTGTGCGGAAGGCACTCTTCGATGGCTTTGGCCATTGCTTGATCCTGATCAGTGAATATTGTCATCGGGTGCTTGTTGTCCATAATACGAATAAATGTTTTGAATAGCCACTTAAATGATTCAATTGTTTCATCTGACAAAAAGCCAACTCCAAATAGAACGTTCTGCCAGTGGTGGTTCACACCAACAATAGGAGCACAACATAAATTGTATTTATTTAATCTATAACTTGTGTCAAAAATTATGACATCCCCAAAGCAATCATAATCAAGTCTGGATATCCCATCACTCCAAAAGAAATTCAATAAACTACCAGACTCATCAATTTGGACGTCCCATGCAAACATTGTGTCCTCTGCTTGCCTCTCAGTGAACAATCTAAGTAGAGAATTAGCGTCCCCATTTTCAATTATACTCTTTCTCTCTCTTTGTATGAAATTATAAGCATCTCTCTTCGTGCAATCAAGATTTTCAACACCCCCAAATTCTGTAGCTAGGAAACTAAAGGCATCGCTTGTTCTGATCCCTGATTTTGTCATCGATCTGAGCACTTGTGCACTGACATCACCCATTTTTCTGCTAGAACGCAATAGATGTTTGTCACCGTCTGCCGCCAAAGGATGGTTATGAGTTTCTATAAATTTTTTAACTGACCAGTTACCTTCTACATCGACGACATATCGGATCATGGCTGGACAACCAGTCCTCGTGTCCCCTCTTCTGTACTTCACTGACACATTGTTATTCAATTCTTTCTTGAAACCAGCCTTGCCACAAATGAAATCCTTTGTCTTAATCATTTTTGAATTAGGCCAAAAACCAACATCGGTCCTTGTGTCCCCTCTTATGTACTTCACCGCCACATTGTTATTTAATTCTTTCTTAAAATCAGTCTTACCACAAATGAAATCATTTGTCTTAATCATTTTTGAATTAGGCCAAAAACCAACATGGTCCTTTCGCACAGTGAATCCAATATGGTGTGCATATGCATAATAATTTTCGTAGGCTTACTTCTCATTATGAACCATCGCGTGAAGCAAACTATCCGCATTTGGATCAATGCACACAGTTAAAGGCTCGGGGAGCTGCAACTTTCAAACATTTCACCATTAGATTAACAAAATAACACTTTAACGTAATCAATTAGTAAATACAATCATGCTGGTACGTAACGATAAATCAATAACAACATAATACATAATACAATCATAATACCACAACAATAATACCATAATAACACAAAAGTATACTTTAAAAACAGACAAAAATACAAAAATACTAGCATAATAAAACTATGATAACACCAATATAACACTACTTACACCAAACATAACACTCTGTTAAAAACACTAATTATATACAACAATAAATAACACCTTGATATGTAATACAACCATAATACTACAATACTAATACCATAATAACACACACACTCTTGAAAGCCTATAATGCATAAATACTACCGTAATACAATCATAATAACATCATAATAAACCCATGATAATACCTAAATAAGACCCAAATGATATCATAAAAAACAATATCAACCACAATAATACCAGAAAGATAATATCATTACGACAACTTAAACACAATGATAACACTTACAAATTAACTTAGCAATCAAATAATATAATAATCACACCAGCCGAGCCTAACAATACTATCATTTGGAAGCCATTAATAGCAGCACACAGAACAAAGAAAAAACTCTACATGAGGAATACTTCCGGACGTAGCTAATGATTTAAGCTGATCGCCATCATTCTGAGATTCCATCAACATTTCATGGTCGAATGAGAATCCATTTAATGTGGTGTTGGCACAGAATAAAAACTCTGCCCTACTCGTCGAATACTAACAGGCGAGAATATAAAAAAAATTTACATCCATAAGACACAAATAATCTTTGGCGGGATCGAAAATGTCGAAATGCTAGATTTGGCGCGATTCCATAAATCCAAATATATGTTTTTTCCGGTTATTGGGCGGAGTTCAGGTCGGGTCGGGTCAAGCGTTTTGCTTATTTATCTTCACTGAGGGCCCATCATTACACGTGTTAATTTTTCATTCGCTATCGCATGTAGAGCACATGCGGTCGTCGGACAGAATAATTTTCTTTCCCTCGGGGGGAGGGGGGGTTTAGATTATCGAACCAGGAACGAAGAGAAACAAAGACAATGAGAAACATTAGGGATATATGTACATGAACAACTAATATTTACATAACTAACATCTATACAAATTTTCATGAGGACATAAAAAAAACCAGCATTCCTGTGGAGAAAATTTTGCGCACGACAGTCATATGCAGTGTTGCCTATGTCAGGGAGTTTATTTAAAGGGAATTGGGAGGTTATATCTGCGTTATACCCATTATAATCTCCTTGTAACATATTTGTACCTTTTAGTAAGTTTCAAGTTTTTGTTTTCATATATTTGTAGGTTACAGGTAGATTACTGGGAAGTTATGAGGGGCATAACACAAATATAACCTTCCAATATCATCTAAATAATCTCTCTGACGTACGCAATGTTGTGTACATCTCACATGCACAAATTTTTTCATTCCTATGGCCCTGTCTTTTTGAAGTGAAATACATATTTTATGCATAAAATTAGAAAAGATATATGTGTATGTAAAAATTGAATAATAGGGTATTTGCATACATACCACCCAATTCTAACATATTTACATATCTAACCTTTGAACTTTAATTTTTATCTCTATAAAACCCAAATTTTTCATGACATCAAAAATATTAGCACATTTTATGCAAAGCTAAAATACTTGCATGAAATTTTGGAATTTAGTTGTTTGATATACAAATATGTAACAATTGAGTGTAAATCTTCCTAAATAATTACACTATATTAGATTACAATTAATAACTATAATTTTTACCTAATATTTATTGGATTGAAAAGTTTTGTTTTTTATTATTTTAAAGAAAAAGGAAAAATGAATGGGTTTTAATTTCATCAAAATATTTCTCTTTTAACTTTGTACTATTTATTTAAAACTGATTTCAAATAATATTGATTCAATTCTTATTAGTATGATTATATTTTGATCTGCTTTGAATGTTCTATCGTATAGTCTGAATGTAGTTTAAACACACTGAATCGAATATACATAGAATACAGTAGTTGTGTTGTTAACTATCTTTTTATATGGTTAAGTTATGACATCTCGAATTGTCCACCTTGGCCAAGTGGTCTCACAGGTTTTCCCCATTGGTGTATGTACACACCAAAATTGTCAGTGTTAATCTTAAGGCAATTGAACGACCCCAATGACAATCACAAATTTGAGGCAACCTGCAGTCCAATAAGCGACCGCGTGATCAAAATCTATCAACACACTATTGCGAGAGATTTAATTGGCGGACCACACATCCAGTCCTAACCCGACCATGAAACATGCAAGAACTTGCGATCAAAAGCTAGCTGGTCGACCCGTTTTTACTACGACGAGCAAGATCTCCATTCGACTGGGTACCTCAGTCGACTGACATTTACTTCTTAAGGTGAAATCGTCACTCAGCCGATTGCCTCAGTCGACCGAATTCAAACAAAATGACAAACCAATTAATGTCATATTAGTATTCAAATATGTTATAACATCTATACAATTATTTAAAATGTCAATTGTATTGATAATGGTTTTTATGATTGTTTCATCTTTTATGTAATTGTATAAATACGCCCTTATAAGTAGGAGACAAAATGACAAATAAAGGGACCTCTCTCTCGGCTCACTCCACATGAAACTCTTGACTTAATCTACTCACCATCTTTTTCTCTTTCCTCCTTCGTCTGGTTCTAACTATCGAGGTGTCTTCATGAAGGACAATTTAGAATTTAATAGTGTAACATCCCTATAGGTCACTGATTTGAAGTGTGCTCCATTACGAGCACACTTAATTTTGGAGTTTCCAATGAAAGCTCACACTATTACACAAAAAACATCTCGATGTTTTAAAGTTTAAGGGAGTTCACAATCTCCCTCGTTTAAACAGTTGACATCATCGTCAATTCTCGTATCCCAAAATCATCCACCATGAAGATAGGATTCTAGAGGTGACCCCTGTAGATTCAATTGGCGGCTATCACCACGTAGCACTTTATCTCATCATCGGTTCAAGAGGTGGCTCGCAAGACGCGTCACTTTGTTCTGTATGACAGCTAGTTCCCACATTACGGCTGGTGTTTTGCTCTGCTACCATTTGCGACAGCGTGAACTCTCACCCATAAGGCATTGTTCGCTTTGGCCAAATGGACTCACGGTTTTACCTTGTTGATGTAACTTCCTGTGGGAGGTCACCCATCATAGGAATGCTGCATGACAAACATGCTTAACTCTGAAGTTTCAAATGAAAGTTCACCGTTACACAAAAAAACGCTTCAATATTTAATAGCTCAACTTCATTCTACTTAAGAGACTTTACATCAATAACCATTAACATGTAATCATATTAATATATAAAAAAATTAAATTAATCATAACCTAATAATAAGTAATTAGCCATGGCTTAACATAGTGCGATGCAACCACAAGGTCCAACTAGTACACCACATTACTCATTATCACATTGGTTAAATCATATTAAAATATCTTTGATATTTATTATGACACCAGATTCAACCTTTGATTCAACTTTTAAATTTCGAACTTCTCCTCAAGCTCAACATCCACTCCTTCCAAAACCATCTAAACTTCGGTCACATGCTAAGAAGGCATGCTTCATCAGGTTGTGTCAAATTTAACTAATATTAGGGAATTGAGGCTTATGTTGCCCCTGTGGACAACCAAGGCTACAAGCTGGATCACATCACACTTGTGGATGGCAATGCTTCACAATCGTAAGCTTAGGGCAAGTAGGATGATTGAGTTCGTGCGCCAGGGTTTTGACCCTTCATTCTAAGTTCATCCAATCCTAATGAATTTCAAAATTCTAAGAAAATAATTAAAGCAACTCAGCAAAATACACAAACTCGTAAAATCTCTCAAATAAATCTGCGAAAACCTCGAGCCATGGCAATCTAAAATTGAATACCCGGGCCTCGTCTAAGTTCTGATACTCATCTGCACCTCCGGCGGCCGGAAGCCATGTCGATTTTTCGCGGCAGCTTAGCGATTCGGGACGACATCTAACTAGTCATCTCCTTGAGGCCAACGGAAGTGCTCCATTCTCTCACGGCCTGGGCTCATTATCAAGGAACTTCTCTTGTTTTCCCTTCGGTATGTTTATATTTTAAACTCTACTGATTCCATTTGAATGCTTGTTAATATCTGTCTTCGTTCAAGAGTTATATAACTGGTCCTAGTTTTCCAAACCAAATTAGGAGGCCGTAGAGGTGCTTCTTTACTCTTTGCTGGTAGGAATTTGAAAGGACCTGATATTTTCTTAGATTGCATTATTGTTAGAATAGGTTTTTGGAACTTGTATTCCGTCATGAAGTTATTTGGTTAACTGGCTCATCGTTTTTTTGTGGTTTTAATTTAAACTTTTAGCACCTCTTGTTTCTCGTATTAGACTAGCGGAAGATTTGAAAGGAAATACAAAGTGCTTGTCTTTCTATTTTTTAATTGTCTTTGTTTGCTCCATTTAGAATATATGTAAAGCAAATCCTTACTGTAGATGTGCCCATTTGACGGATTTATAAAGGAAATGATCCGTGCACTAAGTAACTTGACTTCGTAAACTGTACTTGAAGGCAAAAAAAATTACACGCAAATAATTTACATTATTTTTTTTCCACTCATCCCTACATCTCCTTTAATTGCACTTGCATGATAAGGAGGTAAAGTATTTGTAAACATTGGCGGAGAATAAATCTTTCCAATTGGTTACCTGCAGTTTTGTTTTCTTAACTTGTAGGAGAAAACACCAGTTTTTCATGTGTGACGTTTACTCCTAAGAAATGCGAGCCCTCTCTTTTGGCGCATGCTCATTTTTCTACTGAAACAAATAAAGAGGATGCTGCTCCCCCAGGTTCCGGTTCCATCTATTTTTTCTCGTCTTTGCTAAATACATTTATTTCTTTCTATATCTCTCGCAGCTTGTTTGGGATCGATTTTGTTTTTATTTAATTTTTTAATTTTGAAACATGTTTGTTTTGAGTTTTTTTTACATGTTTTAATTTTTTATTTCTAAAACAAATTAAAATGATATTGCAAATACTCAATAAATTTTAGATATTTTGAGTGGTAAAAAAATAATATCTTAATCAAATATGTCAAACATGTTTTTTTTCAAATAAAAAAAAAACACATAAAACAAAAGTGATCCCAAATTTTTCAAATAAAAAAAAAACACATAAAACAAAAGTGATCCCAAATGGCCTTTTAGTTTTTCTTCTTGTTTTTTATTGTCATATGTTGCAATATGGATCTACAATGAATTCTTCTATATAAAATAACTTAATCTAGAATGACTCCTGATATAAGGAGTGTCTAACATTTTTGGAACAACTGGAAGATCTGACAAATAACACCTAAATATTGACATTGACTGAAGTTTTATCCATTTATGTAATCACGCAACAACTGTAAGGAACTTTATGCTGAAAGGGTAAAGGACTAACTAAATTAGTTTTGTTGGTTGGGCTTGGACACTAAAATAGAATGTTTAACATTTTGGAAGTTCTCGTGGATGCTCACTTATTCTTAAGTGATTTTCACCCATTTAAATCTTCTAATTTTTAACTATTTCTGTGAAATTTTAATAGTTTCTGTTGTTATGTGTTGACTTAATTTATTGCAGAGTCTGTACAAGAGATTTATACAAAACTGCTGAAATCAGTGGAAGCTAAAACCATGCCACCAAATGCATTATTATGGTCTCTCATTGAAAAATGTTCCAACAAGGAGGATATAAACCTTTTATTTCAAATCTTGCAGAGACTTCGTGTATTTGTAAGCAATTTTCTCTTTATTCGCTGATCTGCCTCTCTCTCCCATCTCTTCCCACCTACTTGTTAGAAAGGAGGGCCCTCCTGAATGGCGGTACATTTTTCCACTGATTTTCAGGAATATGACGATAAAAAAGCAAAAAAAAAAAATGGTACATTTTTCCACTGATTTTCAGAAATATGACGGTAAAAAAGCAAAAAAAAAAAAAAAAGAGTGAATAAACAATTTTGTATTTTAAGGCGAAATTAGTACAAGTTGTTGGGATGTATTTGGTTACTGGCAAGCATTTATGCTAGATTTTTTGCAGAGATGTTTTAGTTGAATCTGAAACTAACAGGCTATGTTCTTGCTGCAGAGATTATCAAGCCTGCGGATTCATGCAAATTTCAATTGTCATCTTTGTTTAAAAGTAACAGAGGCTTGTATTCGATCTAATGCGCTTGAATATGGTATGCTACCAATTTCATTCCAGTGCTCTCTGTTTGAAATTTTGTCTGCTCAAATTTTTTTATACTAGATTTAATTTTTCTTAGTTAAGCATATTAGTATATCAGTATATGTTTTTCTTTTTGTATTTTATCTGATATGCATTTCTTATTTATTGGTTTATGTGGGGGTTTTTTAGGTTGAATTTTATTTGCCATTACTGTCTAGTTTCTTATAGTCTGTTTGAACATTATTGGAATCTATTATGATTATTTTGCTATATTTTTAAGGGTCATTTAAATATATACCACCCAAATTTTATGAATTTACATATCTAACATCTAAACTTGGTTTTTTAAATTTATATCACCCTAATTTTTGACATCACATAAAAAATACACCAATTATAACTTTAAAAAAGTGAAATGCACCTTTTTATGCATAGTTAAGGCAGTATGTTTGGCAAAATTGAAGTTTGTGCGCTATATATGCAAATACATAGGAATTTAGTGGTATGCATATAAATCTTCCAATTTTTAATAATTGAGAATATGTTTTAAAGGTCACAATTTAATCTGAACAGACCCAATGTAATACGTGCTTATATTTGATCTGTAATTTTGGTTTGTTTCGAGTTCATGTTGCTTTTGTTCTGTGCTTCCAGGTATGAAGGCATTGTGGAAGCATAATGTGTATGGTTTAACTCCATCTATTAGCTCTGCTCATCGTTTACTGGTAATTTGCAACTTTGGCTGCTCTTCCTTCATGGAAAGAATAAAGGGTACTGAATTTCCCTGCAGTTACATGCTAAGGAGCACAATGATGTTAAACTCATGGAGAAGATTATGGATGTTCTAAAGAAAAATTTATTGCCTTTACAACCTGGAACAGCTGATATAGTTTTCAGGTTTTTGCTTCTTGCAACCTTTTCCTTGTTATACATGGATATGTTTCCCTGCCCTCGTAAATACTCATATAATTTAATTTTTTTGGGAAATTTATACACACAGCGCACAATTCTCATGTATTTATATATCTCACACCTAAACTTTCATGTTTACATACATAACACTTTGGTACTTTAAATCCATGCATGAAAATGTCATTCATGTTGGATCACTATATAAATTTTGTTTTGTTTAGATCTTATTATTTTTGGCAAATACCCGCAGCAGCAACTTTGTTCAACTTTCATATGAATGTTCTTATATGTGTATCCCCTTGCTTTGCTTTTTCTTTTTTTTTATAGTTCTTCATTTCTTCCCCCTCGTTATAATTAAAATCCACATATTATCCAAATTTAACTCCCATATCCTTAATGCTCTATGCTCTTTTGTTCTCACCTAAATTCTTCCCCTTTTCCACTTGCCACGAACCGTTTGAGTTTCATTTCACGTGGTTTTCTTCCATGGAGCTTTCTAGCTTTCAACTATTATTTCAAAGC